CTCACTTTTTTTCTAATAGATTTACATTCTTTTCATATCAAAAAATCCAAGTTTGCTCTTTAAATTGTTCTTTTAAATATTTATGCCAATTTTGAAAGTTTTGTTTGAGACACAATATTTATGCCTCAAGGCTTAATGCCTTAGAATGAATTTACATGTACAGGCTGTGAGTCACAAACTGCCTCATTTGCAGGTTGGTACAAGTTTGTTTTGAATTATTTTTTAATTAAACTTCATTTAAAGAAATGTTCTGTGAGATACTACAGAAAATATTGTGTAATCAGTCATTGAGGCACAAATCTTGTACCTTGAAGCACCAGGAAAGTTTTACCAAGTCACATGAGTGGCACCTCATGACAGTTAACATGTTTAGTTCTTCTAATTCTATGTCACAACTTGGTGCATTTATCAACACTTGGCAAATAATTTCATCATCCACTTTTAATTCATACAGATACGTGTTTTGGGCTTTCGCCCCTTTTCAGACTGTTGATCGATAGGTTGTGACTTGTGTATACAGTATCAGTCAGGCACCTTCCGTACTTCCCACTCCTCTCCCCTCTTCTCCCAACTTGACGGCTTCCCCAGCATGCCTCATAACTTGTAATGTGTTACTTCCCCAAGTGCTGCACACAGCCTCGCCTGCGACTGTATAAACATTCTATTTTAATAATTGTAGCCAGTTTTTATGAATGTCAATGCTTAGGTTCTTGTTAATATTATTTTTGTCTGCAGTAATTTTGTAGCTTTCCTTGAATTTTCTTTTGTACCAATTTTTTTCTTTGTATACTATTATTGCATCATTCTTATCTATTTTGCAGTTGTGGGTCATGCAATGTTCGTAAAAAACAGAGTTGATTCTATTATACTTCAGGTCTGCGATATGTTCTTTTAATCTTGTTTCTAATTTTCGTTTTGTTTCTCCAATGTATACTTTTGGCGGTTCGCATGTGTTATTTTATAGATGACTTCGGTAGTGTTGTATTTGTCTGGTTGTTTATTTATGTCAGGTTCAGCCTTCTGGATTCTTTTTTGCAAGTTGTTATAGGTTGAGGCTAGCTTTATATTTATTTTATCAAAACTTTTGTTTTGATAATGATAATGATAATTAATGAATAAACATTTTGCTTCACAATTTGTAAGTTCCAAACTTCATAAGCAGTTAAAATTACATATAATATAATCCATGGTACAAATTTTGCAGTCTTTCCTGATCTAGGGTGATACTGTTTTTCTGATGTGTGAATCTTACTCCAAGAAGTTCAGAAACAGGTCCTAGGAACTTGATGTCAAAATGTTTATTTAGAAGTTCCTGTGCCAATTTTCTCATGTGTCTATTTTTCAAAATTACCAGGATGTCATCTACATATACTGCTAGGATTATCATCCCTTCCTTTCTTGTCAGTTTATTTATGCACAGATTGATCATGCTTCTTTTAAAGTCAGATTCTCTCAAGCATTTTTCCAGGTGATTGTTCTAGCACTGTCCACTTTGTTTAAGACTATAGATTGCTTTGTTAAGTTTACAGTATAGATGTTCTTTGCCCTTCAAAATCCCTCTGGCTGTTCCAGATATATTTCTTCATTCAATTCGCTATGTAGGTATGCTGACTTTATGTCATATTGGTCTAAGTCTTTGTTTCTTTGTTTATCGCTATGGCTGTTAGCAATCTTATGTCAAAATCTGATACAGGGGAATAAATTTTGTTGTAATCTAAGAATCTTTGTTGTGCAAATCCCTTTGCCATTAATCATGCTTTGTATTTCTTTGTCCTGGGGTGTTATTTTCCTTAACTTGTAGACCCACTTGCATTTGATAGTTGTCGCCCCTTCTGGTGTTTCTGTTAAGTAACCTTATGTTTTCTCAGGGATTCCATTTCTTCTTCCATGGTAGCCCACCATCTGGCTGAGTCACTCGATTCCATGGCTTCTTTATATGCCAAAGGTTCTACATTGTCTTTGACTATCTTTTCACCAATTGTGTCAGATTCTTCTATGATTTTCACTCTATACTCCTTTCTTGGTCTACCTCTCTGTCCTGTTCAAGCAATTCATGGCCTCCCACTCACTCTTACCAGTTCATTATTCTGTTCATTCTCACTTTTGTTCGTTTTGTTTTCGTCTTCATTTTCAGATGAGATGTTTTCTTTGGGCTGTAATTGTTCCTTAACAGGTACTTTTTTATTATTGAGTTTTTCTCTTCCATGGGATCTGTCATCTTCAGTCATTTCAATATTGTCCCTTGAATTATTTGGGAATTTGCTGATAAACAAATTCCCAAATAATTTTTTTTTTTGGTTTTTTGACATCTCTGCTTGTTATAACTCTTTTTGTCTTTGTGTTCCATAGACAATATGCTTTTGTTTCACTAGAGTAGTCTATAAATATGCATTTGGTGAATTTTCATGAAATTTTCATTTTCCTGGTTCCTTTTCTAGTATAAATGCCATCTGACCAAATATCCTAAAATATTTTAACATTAGCATTCTACCACTCCATAATTTGAAGGGTATGTCGTCTTCCAGGCTCTTTGATGGACATCTATTTCTAATATATGATGCAATATATACAAAAGCATTCTCTCAATCCTGCTTGGAGTAGCATGTATCTTCCCATTTACACTAATGTTCTGTTTCTTCTCTCTGCGATGAAGTTTTGTTGTGGTGTGTAACAGGCTGTTTTCTCATGCTTAATCCCTTTATGTTTCAGGAAGTTCTGAAATTCTCTATTAGTATACTCGGTTCCATTGTCACTTCCTATTACCTTTACCTTTCTTCCTGTTTTATTTTCTACAAAACCTAGGCGTTTTGAATTTCTTGACAGCTTCACTTTTGTTTTTCATGAAATATATTTCACATCATTTAGAATAATCATCAATAAACATGATGAAATATTTCAATCCACTCAATGATTTGGTTCTCATTGGTCCACAAATATCAGTATGGATCAGTTCTAATCTTTCTCTGCATCTCTTTTCGTTTCAGAAATGGTGATCTGGTTTGTTTCCCTCTGATGCAGATCTCACAGGGGTCAAGTTCAGTCTTTTCGTCTTATACTTAGTCTTCTAACCTTCAGGTTGTTGTTGGCAATGTGCCATATGTCCCTTTCATTTAAGTGGCCTAAACATTCATGCCACCTTTTCATTTAATTAACATTTGTTTGAGAGAGTTTAGATTCCTCCCACCTTTCTTTCACATAGTATAGCCCTCCTTCTTTAAGTGCTCGCATGCATACACTTATAGATTTTTTGGATCCATAATAGTTGCCTGATTCTTTTGGAATAGTACACTGAATACATGATCAGTTATCAACTGACAGTAGGATGGTCCTTAGTTCCGGTACAAGGAGTATGTTCTCTAATTTGGCTTGAAATCCTCTCTTTGTTTCAATTTTTACATCACCACTTTCTTTGATTTCCGTTGTAGATGAGTTGGCCAAGTTTAATTTGCTTATGTGGGTTGTTTCAATGTTGGAAAATCTCTATCATTGCACATGTGTGATGAAGCACCTGAGTCTAGATACCATTCATGATTTTCTTTCGCTTCATTTGCTGTAATATTAGTATTATATAACTCCTGTTTTCAAGTTGTTAGGCTTGTAGTCATAGCTCTTGGTGGTTTTCACTTGTTTTTATGCCAGCATTCTCTTGCCTTATAACCATCTTTCTACAGTTATGGCATTTGAATTTAAATTGTCCCTTATTTTCTGATTGTTTCACCTGTTGTTTGCTTATATACAGTGCACCCGAATTATTCGAGTCGTCGGTATCGTCATTTTGTCTTCGCATCTCACACTCTTCTATTAGCTTTATTTTGAGTGTGTCCAGCAAAAGAGGTTTCTCTTGTGTTTCAATAGCAATTTGGAATTGTCCAAACAAGTTCAGTATACTATATAGAAGTAGTACTGTTAATAGTTCTTTGTTTATGGAGATTTCTAATTCTTTTAACTTATCTACTATATCGAAAAAGTCTCTTACGTGATCTGCCATGTTGTCTCCTTTCCTCATTTTCTTGAGAATTAATTTCTTTAATAGCATAGCCTTTATTGCAGTACCTTTTGATTTGAAAATTTCATGTAGTTTATTCCATATTTCACGTGGTTTCACATCCTTCTGTCTGTTTTAATTCTGCTGGGCTTATGGCAAGAATTATATCATACATTGCCTTTGAGTCTGCTGTGTCCCATTGTTCTGCTGCATTCATTGTACTTTCATCTCCATGTATAATTTCTGGTTTCTTTCTTTTTCCACTGATGTATTCCCATGAATTGTCTTTGATCAGAGGTGCCTTCATCTATATTTTCCATGTATCAAACTTTTCTTTACACAGTGGTTCTATTCATATAAGTGCCCACCAATGGCCAAGCGGTCTTCGAACCCTGAACAATGGGAGTATGGTCATGGGTTTGCGCCTTGCTTGGACGAGCTGGCCATGTAGAGTTTTCCGGGTTTTCTCCACGTCTGTATGACTAAATAGAGGCGTTTCCCTTAAAAAGACCCCCTAGGCAGATCACCCAAGTGTTGCATTGCCATAACTTAACCAACAATAACAACAACTATTCATATAGCTAGTTAACTTGCCATTTTTCTTTTGTAGGCTTTGTAATTCTATTTCCTTTTAATTCCTGTAATTCTAGTCCTTGATACTTAATTTTCTGTTCCTGAGCCCATAAATATTGTTAGAACAATGATGAGACAGTCCTTTAACTTAGAATTAAACTTTATTCTAATCTAAGACTATACATGAACTTCTTCACTCATCCATAACTTGGTGCTCAACCAAAAACAGGTCTATTCTTGTTTTGAGTGGTCTTGCACATGTTGCCAGTTCATACACAGTTTGCAATATCGACACTTGCTTTAGTTTAGTATTCCCTAACAGTTATTTTCCTCGTAAAGTTTATCCATAAAGATCCAAATTTTTTTAAAAATTGTCTATACTTTGTATTAATTTTATACAATAATTATATTTAAACTGTACATGAATTATAAAATTTCTTACCTCTCCTACATATTTCTGAACTAATTCTGATCCAATAACTCTTATAAAACAAGCATCAGTTCGATTGGCAACTGCTCTGGCACACAAAGTTTTTCCTGTTCCAGGTGGTCCAAATAACAAAACTCCTTTAGGAGGTTCAATTCCAAGGTTTACAAATTTCTCTGGCTATAAAATTTAAAATATTAATTTTCAAAATATTTTTATAGTTCCAATTAGTATTAAAAAAATTTTTATTTACATGTAATAATGGTGTTTCCACAACTTCTCTAAGTTTATCAATTTGTTCTTTGCATCCTCCAACATCACTGTATGTCACATCTGGTTTTTCCTCTACCTGCATCATTGTAACTGTGGGATCAATTTTAGGAGGTAGTGGAATATGTATTTGATATTTATTTCTGTCAACACTGCAAAATAAAATTCAAATTAGATAAGATATATTTATGTCAGAATGTGAATTTCTATATAATCTATATNAAACATATATATATATATATATATACAATAATAATTTAATAATTTTATCTGAAGTATTTCTCATGCACAGCCAATCAATGCAATTAATTTTAAATTATTTTTTGTTTTATAAACATAGAGGTTGTCCATAAATTACATAATGCAGATATGGATGGGTGAGTATGCAGATATTTGTTACAATGCTTTATGAGGGGTTGAAAATTTTTAGCATTAAGTAATGCTAGGATCTCAACTCTAGGGTAGCATGATTCATTTTTATTTCCAAATAGTTGCATAGCAAATCATGCTGTTATGAGAAGTAATAAAATACTGTAATGTTCAGTAGTCCACGCTATGTATTGGGTTGAACCAAAAGTTTGTTTGGGTATTTACATGATCGTTTGTCTGTGGTGCCTCTGTCGGCTTATCAAGTTTTAACTTGTTTAGGAGGTTGACATTATGAATATTTGTATATTTATTACGTAAGTTTAATTACAGCTATTTTTTAAAATTTTGCTATATTTTAAGAAAAAAAAACATTAAGCTGGAAGATAAGAAGGTGCATTTCCGACATCTCATGCTCTATTATTTCTGAAAAGGAAAAAATGTGACAAAAACTCAAAAGAAAATATATGCTGCATATGGGGAGATGCAGTTACATTCAGGGAGGGAAATTTTTCTCTCGAAGATGCACCTCAGTTAGGATGTCCTTCAACCACAGAAGATGAGTCCATAATGGCTTTAATTCAAAATAATTGGCATAAAACAACACAAGAGATAGCCAACATCTTAAAAATATCCCAAACATGTTGTCAGACATTGGCTAGCCTTGGATACACTTCCCATTATGATGTTTGGGTTCCCCATCAATTAAGTGAACAAAACCTTATTGAGCATGTTTCTGTATGTGATTCACTTTTAAAATGCAATGAAGACAATCCCTTTTTAAAGTGATTAATAACAGGCGATAAAAAATGGATCATTTACAACAATATTCAATGCAAGAGATCTTGGAGTAAGCCAGGTGATCCTCCAGTGCTTCAACCTAAAGCTGGTTTGCATCCCAGAAAAGTAATGATTTCAGTTTGGTGGAACTGGAAAGGGATTCTTTATTACGAGCTTTTACCCAACAACCAAACAATTAACTCCAATAAATATTGTCTCCAACTGGATAACCTTACACCACCTGACAGGTAGTTTCATAATTCCATCTTTGTAGAATTGGGTAGGTTTCTGATTGAAGAAATTATCAATGTGATTTTTGATACCTTCTAAAGATTGAAATTCTATGTCATTTAAATTATTTTGCAACAAATGAAAAAGAAGATAGTCTGAGGGAGCAATATCTGGAGAATATGCAGGGTGACTCAAAACATCCCAGTTAAAATCTAGAAGTGTTTGGCACACGTTTAACAATATGTGCAGTCTTGCATTAGCATAATGGCATACCACTCCCTGTCGATTTGCAAGTTCCAGACATTTTTCTTGCACTGCAGCCTTTAGTTTATCTGTTCGATAAACAGCTGAATACATTGTGGATTAAATGTTTTTATGTATTTCAAAACGTATATTTTATTTCTTTCTAAAAACCAAACAAACTTTCAGTTCAACCCAATATTATTCCTTAGTACAATTAAACGGTTGATCAAGGATATGCATTATTATAATTTTGGAGGTGGGTATGTGCAGTGTGTTATGAAGCATTATGGAGAATGGGTTGGTACTTGAAAAATATAAAAACAGTATTATGTAATTTATGGACAATCCCGTATACTTGATCCCTAAAGATCCTTATAATTACAGTAATACCCCGACTTACGCGAACCCGGAGTTACGCGAATTTCAAATCTCGTCGATTCGTCTTTTGTTTGAGCGCCACGCAACTCTTGATTACTCATTTCCCGACGCTATTGCTCATCTTACATGTTGGGACGTGTCGTGCGGAATCAACATATAACTACAATTAATTTTGTGTTATTTATTTCTGTATTTGTTATATCTACGAAGACTCGAGAGACTCTACTATATTATCTAAATGAAGTAGAACTGATTCTGCTGCATCAAACAAGAAAAGAAAAACTTTATCTTTGGAATGTAAAATTAACACTGGGTATGTTCATAAAGTCAAATGAGTTAAACAAGAATGACGTCATCAATATTCTTATTTCGTTAGACTTTTCGAACGATTCGTTACTAACGCGTTTAACTCGTTTGACTTTACGAACGTACCCCATTATTAAAGAGTTCGATACAAAAATGAAAATTTCTGAATTGGCAAAGAAGTTTGATTTACCGGAATCAACAGTGAGAACAATTATAAAAGGTAAAGAAAAAATTCTCGAAGCTGTGAAAAATGCTCAATCTTTAAATTCAAGCATCATTCGTAAACGTCATGGTATTATCGCTGAGATGGAAACAATGCTAAAATTATTGTGTGATAATCAAGTAAATGTGAAAAATTGTATAATAATATAATTTGTTATACATGCGAGAATCCAAATTCGGATGTGTTTATATCATCTCATCATAATAGCACATCGTAGTTTTACCTTCATTCCACGGTGTCATAAGATCACAGTACAGCTATACTTTTGTTCAATAACTGTCAACTTTTACACCTGGGAGCTAAACATCTGCTAAGTTCTCAGGCGTAATAACGACGCTTACTCAGCACCTTTCGACCTAATATCTTCGTTTCAACAATCCAACATGAAAAACCAACAACCAAATGAGTCAGTCGTCACCAGTTCCTCGTTCGGACCACGCAAGTTATCCCTGTGCCTCGCCTTTGGATATTTCTTCGCCCTTGGATATTTCTTTGCCTTTGGATATTTCCACGCCTAATAACTGTGTCTTCTGTTTTCTGAGTCCGGAACTGTCTTCTTTTAAGAGTTCATACAAGGTAACTATCGACACGCGAACTTCTGTAAACTCTCTCTCTCAAAACGGGAAGAAACGTAATATCTTAATATCGTAATATCTTAATACTATTATATACTAAAGCGAGCAATGTATCTAATANTTAAAAAAAAAAAAAAAAACTCTTGTTATATGCAGTTAAAAGTTTTATTAGCATACTTAAAAATTAATTTTAAAAATTTATATTAAAAAAGTGTTCTTTTAAAAGTAAAATGTGTATTATTAATATTTGCAGTGAAATGATTTAATTTATGTAACTTTGTAGACGTGAAATGATTTTAAAAGTAATGTGAAATAAAATGTATTGATGATGAAAAAGAAATCTTCTGGAAAGACTGGTAGTTGGGTTACTGATTAGCCATGTGAGTTGTTACAATGTATTGAGGTGAGAAGAGTCAAATGTAACAGATAATCATGACATTTGGAAAGTCATTTCTCTGCGGACTGAGCTATGATAAGAAATTCTAGCAAGATGAGAACATACATATCACATCAGACATCACAAATCAAATCTTACAAGGAGATCTTACACAGCAGATTAGAGCTACTTAACCATTCTCTTAACTATTTAGTTGATATATTCAGAATTTAAAACTGTAAAGATCATTTCTAACATCAATTAATGATCTTAATAAATAAATGTTTGAATTCACAAATAATTTATTTAACTATAATGATGATTTAAAAAAAAAGGCTGTAAATTTGTAAAATTTTATGCAAAACAATATAAATTTACAGCTTTTTTTTTAATCATTATAACTAAATGATTTTATGGGAAGCAATTCTATTTATTAACATGATTATGCAAATTAATAACTTGGATGTGTCTGTTGTGATTTAACAGAAATCCAACCTTTAAATTTAGGATAATGAAAAGGTAAAGAACATAGACTAAACAATTAAATGTAAATAAAATTCTCCTGAGTTCACAATCATCAAATTTGGTAAAAAGAACTTGCTAATTCTTTCAAAGAAATATTTAGTACCTGTCAAGAAGCAGTGAATATAACTTAACATATGCATGCACAGTACAAAATTATTCTAAAATTGGAATATGGAAACAGTAGACCAAAAAACTCATTAATTACATTTCAATTAATCTCTATTGATTGTGATTATTTTCAAGTTAAAACGTAATTTCAAATGATGATGATTTTTATTTTGATTGCTTATTTTATTTTTAATATTTTTCAGAACATACTAATGAGTAAGAAACAATTGATAATCTATAAAATGAAAGTATCATAATAGTGATATTAAACTTCCTAAAGTTTATTTTAAAATCTTTAGTTGTTATTATGTAAGGTTTCCTCAGTTTATAACAGATTGAACAGATATTAATAGTTTATCATCATAATTACTGTATTGCTTTGAAATTTATTTTATGTAATATCCATATTTCAGTAATTGGCTGGCTGATACTTATTTATTGTGATTATTGTTTTTCCATTTAGTAGAATATAGTATCCAAAAATATCATATTAATAGATAATTGGATATCAAACTGATTGCTGAAACTTTGTCTTAGTACAAATAAAATTGTTTTTCATCTGGAAAAAATCTTTTTAATTTCTATAAAATTATAAAGTATTTTATGATAATGTGTAATGAATAATATAGCTAATAAAAGTAACGGTATTATTCATTTCACATTATCATAAAATATTTTATAGACTTTTTTAACTTTTAAATTTACTGTAACTAATATAATAGGTAGCAAAAATAACTTGTGTCATATGATCTACATTGAAATTGTACATATATATATATTTTAATATAAAATTCAAGTAATTAATCTTATGTAATTTTTATTTTTTATTTGAATCATAATATAAATTTATCAGAAACAATAGCAAGTTTTTACTTTGATATTTTCAGATATAATGTTCATTTTTACAGTGTGAAGGGTTCCTAACCTATAAAAACGATTAGGTGAACATGCCAAGATAATATCTGTTAAAATGCTAAAACATTACTGCCTATTGGCATTAAAACACTTTTTATTAATACAAGCACTTTCAACATTTCCATCAATCTCAGGTAGAAGAA